TAATGTATTATTATTAAAAGACAATTCTCACCTTTCCTGTATGGTTATCTTTAAGTCCAAAATTAGATACGTTTGCGGTGTTCTCACTATTCAATGCCTTTTCAACTTTATCACCCGAAAGATCACATAAGGTATCGGTCGTCCCCATTTCGACGACAGACTTCTGCAAACTGCGAAAGTCAGGTAACGCTAGTGATTTATCACAGACTGGTCCGAGGCCCTCAGGTGAAGTTTGATTGGCGTCATTTGTAGCTGTTGACACGGTGCCGCTGTTGGGAGATGTATTCGGACCACCGCTTCCGGTACATGTCACCTGTTGATTTTGTTGCACCTTGCACTTTTTACTGCGACTCTTCGACTCCGACTATTAACAAAATAATTAATCAATTTTGAAGTGTGAAGATTTTCATTCATACACGTAACGTTTTTTTTTTCATTTTAATGTTAAAATGAATCTTCAATAAGTAGACACTAGAATTAATTAAAAAGTAAAAACTATAAAATAGTTGTTGTTATTGATGTGTAACGGTTTCAGATATTTTACTGAGAATATTTATTAAGGCTATTTTAATAGTTCTCTGCAAGTATTTAGAAGTTTGTTAAAATCAATAAAAGTAATATAGTAAACTATACGAATAATCAAGTTACAATCTTATAATCTTTAATTTTTAAAAGTTAACATGCGGCGACTTCCAATAAAACAAATTTGTATATGCACGAATTTTGTGTTAATTTTAATTCACATTAAATACGAAAAAGTCTTAAAATAGCTGATTAATTGTTTAGCTGTGGTGATTTTGGAAATGTGACAACCATATCAGGTCAAAATAGTGTAAAGCAGAAGTGGGTGCATATTTATAACATAAATATTCAATAACTTACAGATAATTTTCGCTTGTACTCTTTTCCTCCTTCACATTTTTGTTGAAGTTTTCGTTGTAATTGTAACTGAGTTTCTCTGTGTTTACTGCTACAAACTGAATTTACTGACGGCGATGCATCTCCTAAAATAAATTTAAAAATTAATGTTATTTCTCGATATAATTTTCAATTTTTAAAAAAATACTATTTCAATACAAAATATTAATACAGAAATTGTTTGCTATTTGTACCTTTGAGTTGACATTTGGTAATTGACGTAACAATGGTTGCTGCAGCACTACCTTGACTCACTAAATCGTTCAAAACAAGATAGGCTGCAAGGACGTGAAGAGAAGGAAATTGTGTGCCCAACTGATTTTCTGCCCATTCTTTTACTATTGACCAAGCAGCACCAAACAAGTCTGCAGAGCTACATGGGGGTTCAGTAGACTGAAAAGGAAATTTAATGATAACAATTAAAATAAGCAAGGAAATAATAAAACATAACATATTTTTTTACCATTTAAAGAAAGCATTTTTATGGAATTTATTAATTTGTTTACTTACTTGTGGTTTGTCAGACAAGTCCGGTAAGCTAGGAAATTCCAGCTTGAAACGTCTACGAAGGCCGGCGTAACAATAACGAGAATTCCCCCTTGTGCCCAGTCTTCTTGGTCTTACATTTGCATACACCTGCTTCATCACTTTCCCAAAGTCAGCTGTTGATAATGGTTTTATTTTGTTTGGCTCACAAAAATTACTGAAAATATGAAACAATAAAATTATCAATAAATCTTTCAATTGATTCAATTCTATTATAACTATAATTAAATATATTCTTTTGAACATTTTTTATATGGTATAAGAGTGTACATTATATCAAAAATGAGTTATTGATTATAAAAGACACGAAAGCAGAGAAGTATGAACTTAATGTGTTTAAGAAAACAAAACTTTGAAATTTCTAGTTATAAATATTTCCCAAAATGTGACATTTACTGAATAGTTTCACTGTAATGAAAGAGGATATAGTTATCTATATTATATAATTAATAATATTCTAAATAGATAACATCTTCCAATGATAAAGTTGAGTCTTGTAACTGATAATATCATTTAATTGTAACTTATAAAAATACAGCAGATATTTCAAACTGCTGTTTGTTTAATCTGTATTTGTAATTAGTACTATAAAGTTTTCTCTTTCATTTACATTACAAATATACTACAGCTACAAAAATTAAAAACATTAAAAAAATTACCGATATTCATCATAAACATCTTGTTTAGGTAGCGATAACTCGGGATCTTCTTCCAAATGGGTTTTAATCCACATTATGGTCTGATTAATTTCTGATCTGCTTCCCAATGGATTAAGTGGTTTTTGGAGAGGATTAATTGAATTGCTGCATTCTGTAGGTAATTTTAAGTAAAGAAACAGCAACTCTACAGGTGTTAAATTTTTTACTTCCTCTAAGATTTTATCAATAGTTTTTCTGGACTTTTCACTGCAAAATCAGCTTTTTAAGAACAGGTTACAATTAGAAAAATTACACAATACTAACCTAATAGCCGTTTCAACAACATTTTTTACCCGAGAATCGTTATTTAAATTTCTGGAATTCTCACTATTACTATTTCCTTCGACATTTTCCAGCAGGTTGTTGAAACTGCTACCATTGTTCATGTAGTCATCTGCTTTTTCTGGACATTTTTCTGCAATTAATGGGCGTTGGGATGGCCATTTTTGTGTTTCCATTATTATCTACAGTTTATATGGCATTAGAAAAGTTGCGGCACTTCTTCCGAAAACATTTAAATAAACTTAAAAACGAAGAACCGGAACATTTTATTGTCAACTCAAATCAGCTGGCCGTCAATGGACGACGATCGACACCACTTTTGGTTCTTTTTGATCATATAATGTTGGACACCACTTCAATTAATTCATAAGCATGCGCTTCCGTGGTTTCTTTTCTGAAATGTATTTTTAAAAATACTCATTTATTAATATCATGCTTAATAATTTAAGACGCCACAGCTCTGTTAAGTATTTCGTATCAATAGCTTATGTCGTAAAAATACCATTTTAACTTTTTAAATATAAAAAAAGGTTTCGTTTCAAATTCAAATTGTAGTGATTTTCAGGTTTATGTAGTTGTTTACTGTTTTAGTTTATAAACAGTCAAACATCTCATTTGTCAGTTT